GGGGGACGGGGACGGCTGCAGCAGCAGGGGGGCTGTGCTTGGCTCCTCAAGCATGTGTGGGGCAGCACATGGTGTTGTGACCCACCTGTGACCAGTGTGCAGAGATTGCAAAATTGGGATGGACCTACAATAGCCATGTTCTGTGCCAGTACTTCAGGTGAGTAGTTAAATTATGGAGACTCACATTCATGTGAGTCTCTTGTAATTTGAACAGTTTGTTTTTTTCAAAACAGATATTTTGTAGTTGATGAGAAGGGTCATTTGTGTGAAATTACCTGTCTTCTGTGTCTGAGTGTCATAGCTTATTACACCTTACTTCTGCAATGTTCTGAAAATTCTGACTTTCTCTACAGCCTTAATTACTGCCCATTAAAACCTGTCTGATCCAGGTGGAATAGTAATAGAGATGGATGGAGGGGCTGACTCACTGCAAGTGCTTCAGAGATTGTGGAATGCATCAGGTCACTTGAGTACGTTAAGAATAACCAAGTCTAATGATCAGAGTCATTTAAAAGTCGAGATTAAATAATCTGAGAGTGTTAGAAGATAGTAAATGTTTATGCAAATCATTATAATTTTTTTTTTCTTGCACTGGATCTAGAATGAGAATAAAAAGGGAAGATGCTTCAGAAAGCACTCTAGTCTTTTTCTTTCTGCAGAAGTATCGGTTGTAAGTAGTAAACATGAGCTAATGGCTGGGCTTTGGCACTGCTGCCACCGAGCATGGGCCTCTCCTGGGCCGGGGTACGAAGGTGCACGGAGTGGGCTTCCTGTGCACTGCTTAACTTCTGTGGGGTTAGGGTTAGTGTACAATTACCGTACACTACCTAAAGTCCAGTGGAGTGATTCTGTGATACCTTGTGCCTAACGTGGCTGTTACCATCATGTGTTACAGCTGTGATCTGTTTGTCCCCTGCCTCGTGTTGGGCTGTTCACAACTGCTAGTAAAGTTTTTTTTAAAAAAATGTGTTGAAATAAGTGGGGGGTGATTTCTGATAGAAAAGGGAAAGAGGAAGGAAAAGAAAGTTTTTTTTAAAATCATGTGAAATGACTTGTCCCTGCCTTCTACCTGGAAATATTTTTTAACCAGATTTCTTATAGAACCTGAACAAAATTTTTTTTTTTCCCCCACTAACCAGATTACTGGAAATAGAAAGTTTTATCCCTTATCCCATGATGTTCCAAGTATAAAAGCATTACCTTAGGGATATGTCTAATCATCTTTGATCTAAAACTCACAAGCACATAATTCCCAATACATTGGAGACTGAGGCTTAATTGAGGAATTAGTGATGGCGGAAGACGACTTTCTCTGGGGCCATCATAAGTGTGACCAAATACGGTTTCAGGATCTCAGACAGAAGCATCAGAGTTGCTAATTGCACTAGTGGTGTTTTCTAAGTGGCATATGAGACTCGAGACACTTAGACTGATTGCTCTCTTGTTTGGCCAGCCATAGCATACTGCTGCATTATCCTAGAGGGATGCCAGTAACTCATCTGTGACCCCTATTACTAATCCACAGGGGAACACTCCTGTGACCCCAGCATTTCAAAAGCTCTGACTCATCTCTTCTGTTTGCTGATGCAAAAATCAATTTAACTAAGTTGTGTTTTCTTCTATGATGGGTGAATGGATGCAACTTCTTTCCATCTTTTGTTGTCTTTCTGCAGTTTACTTTATCTCAATATTGAAAGCAGATTAAGGGACTGGAATTTCTAATGTTTTTTGCAATGAGTCACAATTGCATGTTTAGACTCCTTAGACAATTTTTACATTTTCTCACTAGCATGTAGGATGAGAGTTTCTCACTGGTAGTTACACAGTCAACTCTGAGCATAATAGTTTCCTCTTAGAGTTTTAGGAGCTTATGTCAAAGCCGTATCTCAATTTAGTATGTCTATGCTGATCCTTCAGGATCCCTTCTTAGCTCTCATCTTTTTTTTTTTTTTTTTTTTTTTTTTTAAATAGATAGATAGAGTAGCGTGGCTCTCTTGCTCCTGCCCCAGATCAAAAATCCTCTTCATATATATCTCCTTTTTTTCTGAAGTGTACAGGTGTTTATATAAAATGTAATTCACTTACATGTTCCTGCTAACAGGGTGGGAGGCTTCTTAGTGATCAAATGGCAGCAACAGCAAACCTTTATACAAGTAACTAAAGTCATGGCGTTAAAAATATATGCTATTGTGTGGCTTCCCAGCTCTGGTGGGTTGGGCACAGACTTTCAGAAGAGAGAAAATGAGTGTGTTAGGTGGGGTACATCTAATGAAATCTAGTTGTCAAATCCAGAGAAAAGTGAAGTCTCTAGCTTAATAAAATGAATACAGTCCTAGACAGTGTCACCTGATACTGCTTGCAATCTATCTGCTGGTAATGTTTAAAGAGACAACCTAGATGTTACTTAAAGATATTAGAGTGAAAATTTGGTGGTGACAAGGGCAGCTCTCCTCTCTGCTTGCTCACAGCCTCCTTTTCCCCCAGACCTGCTCATGCAGCTGCGATTGCTGAGCCAACTCACATGTAAGGAGCACAGGTTACAGCTGTGGCATCTCAGCGTGGGGGGATCTGCTGAGCATCCTGCCGTGGGGAAGCAGGGGCTCAGGAGCATGTGGGAGAGCCCGGTGTTGAGGGCAGCCCAGGGGATGCTGTTGCCAGTGGCACCTGATGGCAAATTTCAGGGACTAGCAGGGTAAACTTTGCCTGCTATAATGAGGCAAGTTTTAAATGAAATGGTTCAGTAATTGCAGTTTACTTTTTTACTTTCTTAATCTCAAAACACATTTCCAGTGAAAGCGATGGTGTCTCTCTTTATCTACAGATATATAAACTTCAAAATTAACACATGGGTACCCTTTTATGAAATATACTTGATTTCCCTGGAGGAAAGACTGATCTGATCTCTTGGAAATCTTTGTCAATGTGACTGCTACCCTTAATTAGTTTGAACAGATTTCTGATCTGCAAGGAAATGTGGTTGAGCTGTCACTGTAGACTTCATTTTAGTATAAAAATTGGACTTCATTTCTTGACACTTTGTCTTGGTTTGAGTGGTGGAGGATTTTGGTAGCAGGGGAGGGGGCTACAGCAGTGACCCCTTGTGAGAAGCTTCTCAAAGCTCTGCCGGCTCCACGTTGGACCCATCTTTGCACCAAGGCTGAGGCAATTAGCAATGGTGGCTGTGCCTCTGTGGTAATGTATTTAAGAAGGAGAACCTGGGAGCAGTTGGGGGAATTGTGAGGGGAAGCTGTGAGGAGAACACCTGTGTGAACACCGAGGTCAGTGGAAGAAAGGAGGAGAAGGGGCGAAGGTGTGCTGGAGCAGAGACCCCTGTACCCCACGGTGAGGTGACAGGGCCGCCCCCTGCCACCCGTGGGGGTCACTGGTGGAGCAGATCCCGATTTGCGGCCTGTGGGGGCCCCACGCCGGGACAGGTGACTGCGCCCGAAGGAGGCCGGGACCCTGCGGGGAGAAGCCCCCGCTTTGTAGTTCGGCACTGGGAGGACTGTAACACGTGGGGGTGACCCACACGCCCCGGGGGGTGACTCCTGTCGGAGCTGGTCTGTGGAGGACTGTCTCCTGTGGGAGGGGATGTGCTGGAACAGGGGAGGGATGCCAGGAGTTCCCCTCACCCCTAAGGTGGAAGCAGCCGCAGGACTGGCTGCACCCCCATTCCCCGAGCCCTGTGCCACAGGGGAGTGGGAGCAGAGAGATCAGGAGCAAAACTGAGCCTGGGAAGAAGGGAGAGATGGGGGAAGGTGTTTTCAGGATGTGGTAACACTGGTCCTACTCTGTTACATGTTGTTGTTGTTAGTGTCTGTATTAAAATTATGTTCTATTTTTCTTCCCCTAATGAGTCTGTCTTTTGCCTGTCACAGGAATGGATGATCATCCCTCTGTCGTTACCTTGATTCCTGAGCCTTTGCTTTACTTTCTTGTTCCCAGTGCTGGGGGTGGAAGGGGGCAGTGAGCAACTGTGTGGTACTCGGTTGTTCTCTGAGCTCAAACCATGACACGCTTGTTCCAACAAATTATTTGGTTTAATGGCTGGAAACTTTAACAGGTAAAATATCTTAAATGTTTGCTGTAATTTGCTAATTCACTAAACCTTTCTAAACCCCTCTCATTTCCAGGGTTGTGCGCAGAAGTATATTGTGAAGAACTACTTCTACTACTACTTGTTCAAGTTTTCAGCTGCTTTGGGTGAAGAGATTTTCTATATCACTTTCCTTCCATTTACCTACTGGAACATAGATCACTCTGTGTCTAGAAGGATGATCATTATTTGGTCTGTAAGTATTTCTATGACTTATTTAAACGTGTGGTTTAAATAACCCTTCAAACAAGAAAAAGCCAACATTGTTTACCTGTGTCGCTTATGTGTTCAGGAAGCAGAGGCATTGTGATGCTGAGAGAGGAGGTGAGAGACATTAGCTGATGCATGGTGTCTGTTCATCTCTGTTACATCTTGAACGGACTTATTTTTTTAGCCCAATAACTGACTGAGCTGCTTTTGATAGGGTTTGTACAGAACAGTAGAGAAAACAGTTCCTTCCCCATGTGTCATGGTATTTTAAGGTTCATTTTTCATCACTTCAGGAAATCTTTCTCTTACCTCAGTTTCTTCTGCATAACTTCTTCATACAGTTCTGGCTTGGTTGAAATTAGTATAAACTAGGAAGGGGATGCGCAGTCTGCAGTGGAATAAGCAGGGTGCTTCTGCAGTTGCTTGAGGGGAGTGGGGAAATCAGATTCTCTGTTGAAGGCTAAGACTTAAAAGCATTGATTTTTGTTACTGTGAGAGCATTCCCAAATTAACTGGCTTCAGCATTGCTTCAGCTTTGCAAATGCAGTTTGGGGTATCCAGAATAATGTATTGTCATTTGGGCACCACAACCGGGTAGATAACCAGGCACTTCAGTCTGGGAATGGCTGTTGTTTTGCTGCTGACATTATTCATCTTGGTATCAGTTGGATCTTTGCTGCTCAAATAAGACTGTTTTAGAATAAAGAAGGGAGATAGGGAGCATCTCTGGCAGATGGCAGACCCTGTCAATTACATTGATGTAAGAAACTGAAGCTTGGTAAAAACTTGGATGTGATATCTAGCTTTGTTTCTTTACAGTGAAGCTTCTCCTTAACTTAGTCAGTTCTGTTTAATAATATTCTGTCTTTTGTCCCAATAATATGATGAGAAATAATACAAACAATTTGAATTGGGGCATACACTTCAAATGCACCTGATCTTGGACAGAAGGCATCGGTTCTTCCGTGCCAGTAACCCTAGTCAATACATTTTATAAAGAGAACATGAAAAATAACTTGCAGATGAAATTCAGTAGTAGGTGGACACTGTATAATTAGAGCTGGGTTTTGGCCAGGAATACACCTACTGCTTCTGGAAACGTGCCACAGAAGATGATAATTGGTAGTCACTGCCTTCTGGCATATTGCTCACAAAATGATTCTTCACAGCTCCTTGCATGCCTTTCTACAGGCTTGCCTTGCCTTTACCTTGCAAGGAGTCCATCCAAGTCCTGGCCAGATCTAGACTCATTTAATTAGAGTATTCAAGCGTGTGATATTATGATTATTAATATTATTCTTTGACTTAGAGAGTTCTGGAGTTGCATTTTACACTGAAAAGGAGAAGCTATTTTAAATACACAGACTTGTGACAATCTGTAGTTTTAAAAACATTTTAATTATATGTAATTGTGAAATGACTAAAAATGTCTGTGCAGGCTATGTGTTAACATTATGGCAAGCTCAGCTGGGTGGCTTATTTGTGAGCAGACTGAACAGGAATCAGCATTCATGGTGCTGTAAGTGGTGTTGGTCTGGCTTGGACACCTTGGTTTTGTAGGCAACAGCAGAATCAGCCCAGCTGCATGGGGGATGCCAAGGTGTTCCATGTGATAAAGCTGGAGGGGTTTTGGTGGTAGCGCTGGAAGGAGTGCAGATCTGTGGGCACTATCTGCAATTCAGAGTTTTAAAGAAATGCTTTGCTTCCAAATGGATGGTGATGTGGGGCTGAGAACAGCCATGCTAAATAGAAGTAAAAATCCAGGTAGCCTGATAGTCTCTGACAACAGCTGCCAGTAGAAAGCTGTGAAGAGCGTAAAGAGGCAAGTGCTGCCTGCAGCATGGTCTGCAGAAGGCTCCTATCCAGCTGGGGAAAGGAGTTGGTATCAAACAGAGAGCCCTAGGGAGAAGGTAGTGGTAGTTCCCTTTTAACACTGTTTAGGTTGAGGAGAGGTTGTTAATGAAGCTCTTCATCGAGGAGAGAGACAATGGACCAGCAGTGACCTTTTTGTGAGCCTGCTGCGAAGCACATGGAACACACGCTGGTGGAACATGGTTGACAGGGATGGTCATGACCAAGGGTGTTAGTCCATTGTATGGGAGAAGTGGGCTTACCCTTCTGGAAAATGGGTAGTGGAGAAGCAGAAGTGTTACTGAGTGCGGTCCTTCGTTTTGTGCTGCTGGGAACTTAAACCTGTGAGTTTCTTCTGCAAGTGGGAAATGACAGTGTCCCAGAATGATTCGGGAGTTTTTTTTCCTTAAACATTAAAGCAGTATTAATGCTGTTTACACGGCCTTCCTGCCATCTTATCTGTAATTGTTTATGCAGAGCCAGTCACCCACATTTGAGAAAGATAAATTCAAACTGGAGTGGGGCCAGGGATGATTAGGGAACAGGCTATTCTCTGAGCAGAGACTGAAAGCTTAGATAAGTCCCTAACAAAATGAAGTCAGAGAGAGGATGGGGCTGGCTGTAAACACCAGGGGAAGGAAGGAACTTCTTAAAATAAAAGTACAGTCACAAAAAGAAACATGCATAAGGCAGTCGTAAATAAGCTAAGCTGAAGCCAAAGGTTATGAAATAACTCTAGAAGGGCGAAGTGTAGTAAAAAAAAATTATGAAGAGAATTTTATTTTGGCAGCAGCAGAGGAGTGGGCTTGGTGCCCTAGGATGTCTTCTCCAGTTCTGGGTCCCCAAAACCTGCTGCTCATGCTTTTCTGTCTAGCTGGATGGCTCCGAGAAGTGCTGGCTGTGGTTGCATCCAGATGCTTTGGAAGCTTAAAGCAGCATGCTGTGCTTCCATGGTGCCTTTCCTCTGAGGATTCACTGTATGTATGTAGTCTTTGCCTTTGCCTTTACAGATAGACAATGAAAATAACTGCCAGAAACCGCTCAGCAAGATGCAGGGTCAGTGTTGAAGGTGCCCTGGTGTCTTTGCTTCCCTTCTCCAGCAATTTGAAGTAAACACTCTTGTGTCTGCACAGGTGAGGCTTTGGTGCCTGTGACTCTTGCTACTTCAACCAGGAAGTGGAGAGATGAAAAATAACTTCACATGAGCCAGTCCCCAAAAGTACTTTAAATTTACTGCACATCTCAGTTTGAGAGGTGAAAGCTCAGCTTGTTTAATCTATGCACCCTTTCAGGGTTGGAAGCTTTATTTTGGTGTGGAATTTCAGAGGTAAGGTAGAGACCTGGAAGAAAATAGTTTCTGCTTGCTATTCAGCATGCTTAGAAACTTTTTTCTGGTTATCTTTTTTCAGGGTGCATGAATATAAAATGGATCCACACCTCTTGAGCCTATAAAACTTTAATTTATACAATGTAAATAAAAGCTGGCCAGTGTGGACTTTGCCAGGGACAGATGTGAAAGCTGTTGCTGTATGACAGCAATAAGCTGCTGACTCAGGTGACGGCAGCATCCCCGAGGGAAGGCGGAGTTTGGGTGGCTGACGGTGCCAGCCGAGCACCCACCGGGCCCCTCGATGGCGCTGGGCGCAGACATCTGTGGCAAGTCCAAGAAGGTCCTGAGTCTGAGTCCATGGCAATGTAGCTTCCCATCTTGCTTTTCAGAGGAACAGTTTTCCAAAGGATGCTGGCATTTAGTTACTTGGGGAATGATGAGCTCAGAACTCTGGCTCTCAGGGTAACCAGGAGTTTAATAACCATCAGGAATTACCTGCAGTCATGTTGCCACTGACATTACTGTGTGGTGACTGAATGCCTGGACGCTGCTTTGAAAACTCACTTTGCAGCAAGCTTTGGGTTAATGATTCTTATGTGTTTGTTGGTTTTTGTGTTTTTGCAACATTTCACCAAAACAGGCTTGGAACAGCTGATAAACATAGTCACTCCAAAGTCAAACTCTTTGAAGTGGCATATATTACACTGCATAAGAACATGTAAGACTGTATTCGGGCATGTAAGTACAAAATGCCAATTCTAAAAAAAATGGTCCATAAAAGAAAATGCTGTGTGCAAGATGATAAAGTGTTGATTGAAAGAGAATTTTGTATGTGCTGATAGCAGTACTCTACACTTGAAGAAAAAATGTCAGTGAGGTTTTCATAACCGAGACCAGCTGGGAATAATTTAGGGTGAAGTTCAAATTGGAAACCTTTTGAATTTCACTAGATCTACTAGGTATAACAGTTTCCCAGTTTTAAGTGTTAGATAATAAACCAGATCAATGTGACAGTAGTTTTTCCTGCTACCAGGAGGCTGGGCCCAGAATTCCCTTATTTAAACCCATCATAAGATGATCAACTACTTTATTGTTTTTGTCTGGTCTTCTTTTAAAGACAGAGTGAATCTCCTAGGATGTTGGTTATACTTCTGGAGGCACAAGGCTCTCTTGATCTTGTTCTGGTTTTGTGTTTCTGAAGTCTGGCTTGAGAGTGCTAAAGCCCCCTTTTTAAGCTGTCAGTGCTGTCTCTTTCCTCCTCCTGTCCCTTGCTGCTCCTTGCCGTGACATCATGCTGCACTGCTGTAAGCACGGTGCTGATTGTGCTGGCTGGAGACCTGCTTCTTGGGTGTGCTGCTCACATTGTGGCTGGGACAACTCAAGTAAACACTTGTGCGTCCCACCAGCTCAATGCGACCTTGAACATTCCATTGCACTTTGACCAAATCCTGACTCGTGTGAAGTTCCTGCATAGCTAGCACAAGATTGATGTATTTTCTTGAAAATAATAACCACGCTGGAGATGGCAGATCCTTGAGCTCTCCTAGCCAGACACCCTCTCCCATAAAGCACATCTGCCTCAGAAGGGTGGCTTAGGGTCCTCCAGGCTGGGGGTGCCTGGGGCTTCTGCCATCTGGGCTGCTGCCAGGGCAAAAGGCCTGCAGTGCTGCTCAGTGACTTTCATGGTGTTTTTTTCTTGAAGCCAAACCTTAGTTCTTGGCATTGGCTTGGGGGTGGGAGGTGTATCTCCATGAAAACATGCTCGTCCTTGCCCTGCCTCTCTTTTGCTGTGAACCAAGTGATGC